ACCTTAGTTTTGATTAGGGTGAAAATATGTCCCATCCCAGGGAATGAATTTTGATTGATCTAAATCAATCATGTTTGTTGTCAATCACCCTGTTGTCCACTTTCCCAGACATTTTTGCATCGAGGGGTGGTCATGGCATCCAATTCTGGTAATGATCTCTCAAAAGATGTCAGGCAGGGGCCTTCAGGAAAAGTTTTACTTTCCTAATAAAAGCAAGAGACACAACTTGCACTATCCTTTTCTTTCTGTTTTAAATACAGATATGATGTTAGCTGGAACATTTTACTACCCTGAAAAAAAAAAAAGACCAAGAGAATCTTAGAGATGCCAGCTCTAATATTATTGAGCCACCAAGCTAATAACGTCAGCTTGTTTCATGAGGAAAATGAGCCTATAATCAGGGTTTCTGTTGTTCACTGTAGAAATCATTTCTGGATTTAAATATTTGCTCACCTTCTATTGCTTTGATAAAAGAGTACAGAACAGTTAGGTTTCTCTTGAGGAACACCAATTCTTAAACCGATGTTAATTTGGGATTCATTATTTGGGATTTCCTTTGTAATCCATTATATGTTCTGCTTTAAAGTGCATATTTCTGTCAGGGCCACAAGAACCTGTCCTAATGAAGGCCTGGCCTGTAAAGAGATGTCAGTGTTTCCTCCTCATAGCTCAGAACTTCAGTGTTTCCTCCTCATAGCTCAGAACTGTCTTCATCAAGACAAGAAAATAGAGTTAGATTCATCTATCCAGCCCCTCTCCTCATCACCCCCTCCGCCCTCACCAGGCTGCCCTGGCTGCACACAGAGAAATGATTTTCACAGCCAGCTAACACCATGGTATGGAGGAAGGCTCAGGTATAAAAGCAAAAAGTTACTCTCAGTAAAAACAAAGACTAAAAGAACTGCCATAAGAAGATGGTAGATCTTAAAATCATGGTATCACAGCAAGAAAGTTTGTGGAAGAGTATTCTTCTATAGAGGGAAGAAAAGTTTGCCTAACAGAATGAAAGGCTAATATATTTTAGCAATTGGCAAAATCAGGAAAGACAGTCAACCACCCAGGACCCAGGATCATTCATAGGCAAACAATCTCTTCTTCTGGCTATAGACAGTATGACATCAACTACAGACGATTACCAACTAGCAAGTGGCCATATAAATTCCATGACCTCCCTGAAAGACATACCAGAAGAGACAAGTGTTGTGTGCTCTAGAAAACACTACCAGCATATAGTAGGTGCTCAGTAAATATTAGCATAATGAATGAACATTTTCTGACTTTGAAGGGACAGAAAGCCCCTAGCATCTGAAAAGTGGCACTGACCAATTTCAGCTTATGTAGGAAAAATATATGAGCAAGTAGAAATGACAGTTCACACAGACCACGATGAGGTGACCTGGTTTCTGATGACACCCCGTAGAGGGCTAACAGGGAGCCCACTTTCTTTTGTAAATCCAAGCCTTCTGGGCGGAATGAGTAACATCTTGGCATACTTAGGGAACTTTCTTCTGAGATCACCAAACCTCTGCCAATAATCTTTAAAGAAGCCCCATAAGATCTAAGTAGACAAAATAATTCATGTTAAAATTAAAAGTTTTTTAATCATTCATGTACTTCTTAAAAAAGAGAAAGAGATCGTGAATTCTCCAAGATCAATGGTTGAGTTTTATGGGTGAGATGATAAGTGAGATGCTGCCACTGAGGAAACTGACAGCAAAAATAGCTAATATTTATTGAGTGACTGTTATGCATTGGCGCTTTACATACATCAATTCATCTAATTATCACAACGACCTCAGTGGCCATTAGTATTATTATTCCACCTTGCACAGCTTAGGAAATTGGGACTTATCAAGATGAAGTATTTCTGGAGGTTACACAGCTATTAGGGATGGGGCTTAGTTTGAACCCAGACAGTCTAATTCCAGAGCCCAACTGCATTCCCTTAAAATTATCCCTGTTTTCCTACAAAATGCTTGGGTGTGTCCAGGCTACTTCCCACAGGTTATTATATGGTTAAGCTCCCTGGCCGGGAAGTGCCACTGGGCTGAGAAGGAGCCTCACCTGAGAAACAGTCTGATGAGAGGGCCCTTCGGACCCCTGCTTTCTCCCGCCGTATCCCTCCCTGCTCCTCCATCAACACGCCATACCATCTCATAGTGCCGTCTAAGGGAACATATTCATCTTACCACAGGTGCTTTCCACGGTATTTTTGGATTCCATGGCATTTTTAGATTCATTAAGAGCTCTCCTCCCTGCTCGTGAGAGATCTACATCCAAAAAGTGGCTCTCACAAGAGCAAGTCAATCATAGCTAAATTATTTCTTATTTTTCAATTTGTTTGCTTGCTTTAAAGTCTCCTCCCACTAGAATATGGGGTGCAGACAAGGATTATTTCTATCTTGGCCTAACGTAGTACCTGGCACACAATTAATTATGTATGTGTGTATATATATATAGATATAGATAGAATAATGAATGAATGAATGAATGAACCACAGGGAACAAATAAGTTGTATACTATGTCTATCAATTCAAAGTTGCACAGATAATTGAATTTTTTCTTCATTATCATTATGATCATCATAAAAGTATCTTCATATTGTTAAGCATCTATTAAGTGCCAGCACTGTTGGGCATTTTACACATTATTTCATTTAGTCCTCACAAGCCATATGGCAGACATTATTGTTTCCACTTTACAGATAAGAAAACTGAGGCTTATAGAAATTAAGTTGTTTGCCAAAGGTTTCTAATTGCTCTTGAAATAGGACTTAAATTTCCTTTCTTTTCCTGTATCACCTTTTAAAATTTTTTTTAAATTGGCAAATAAAAATTGTCTATATTTATGTTCCACATGATGTTTTGATATATGGATACATTGTAGGATGACTTAATCGAGCTAACACATGTATTGCCTCACATACTTATTCTTTTGTGGTAAGAACACTTAAAATCTACTTTTTCAAATCAATTTTCAAGTATACAATACATTGTTATTAATTAGAGTAACCATGGGGACAGGGCTTAAATTTCTTAATATCATTTACAACTCCAACTTCATCTTCTTTCTTGGCTCAAAATCCAGTCGATGCCCCATTCTCTATCACTTAGAAATGTGGTATACAGTGGCTTAAATAGAGTTTGCATTTTCTACCCAAGACGTCTGTAGGTGGGAAATGCAGGGCTGCTAGAGTGTAAACAAGGACTCAGGCTTCTTCATTCTTCCTCGTCACTATTCTGGTATGTCGGACTGTGACTTCACGGCCACAGAATGGCAGCTGTCCCTATAAGCATCCTGTCAGCATCCAAAGCAAGGAAGAGGAGGAAGAGCAAAGATCTGTGCCAGGTTCCTCCTTAATCATCACAACAAAAGCTTTCCCAGAATCCCTCCAGCATCCCATTGTCCAAAACTATGTCTCATGGCCATCATTAGCTGCGAGAGATGTTGCTGTGATGGAAAGAGGGAAAGAAAGACACAGAAATAACTTTCAGGTCATCCAGCCAGCAGTATCTGCCACTCAATCATCTGGAATTACTGTCAGATTCACAAAATGGCAATGCTTGCTCCTATTTCTAGACCCTTGCGCATGTTCTTTCTTCTTCTTTCTTCCTCTTCTTTAATATCTTTCCTGACTCAGACACCTCCCACCACCAAGAGCAGGTAAGTGCCCTCCCATCAGTTCTCTTAGCACCTTGGACTCACCTGCCTTTCTTCTTGTCTGCATCCTCCACTGGACCAAACTCTTGAAGGTGGTACCATGTACTTGTCATCATTATATACCAGGCTTCTGTCACAGTGTCTGGCACAATAAGCCTTTACTGAAAGAATGAAGTGACCAACCAAGGGATCAAACTCAGGTCTTTCCAATTCCAAGTCCATGCTCTGTTCACTATATAACACTAAATACTGAAAATAAAACATTTTTGTAAAAAGCCATAAAAATCCAGCCTCCTCCCTCAAAGACACCACAGAATTTTATTGTTATTGTTGTCATCATCATCATCATTATCACATTTCTCACTTGCCCTCTAATAGATGGCCCAAAAACATTTAAAGTAACCAAAAGCTGGGCAGGAGGACAACAGAACCCCAAAACTAGCCAAATTGGGTGACCAGTTTTCAGTCCCCAAGAAAAACTGAAAGCTGAATATAACTAAGGAAAATATTTCAGAATTCAAGTAGGATGCTCTGGTATACCTAACTGTATCTCTAGCACTGAGTGGCATTTGCTTTTTATCTTTCCATATGTATTTAGCCTTTACAGACCACAGCTCGTGATCTGTGACTTTGTTTTATATTAACTTCCAAATGAATTTCACTAGCTCAAAGGTAATTGTTCATTCAGATGGAATGTATACCTAACAACCAGAGCTTTCAGTCAAAGAAGGCCCCTCAGAGACGGCTGAGAAAATGTGATGCTCAACCCATGCAGTGCTGTTAGAAAGAAAGGAAGTTTCTTGTCATCTGCTGGCAAGATGCCATTCTTCCACTTGTCCCACTCCGGACCCATGTGAGCAGCAAAATGTCAATACCACAGTTCTGGCCGCCACAATGACAAAAATAATTGCCTCCACCAGGGACTACAGTCTAAGTTTTGATTTTTGTTTTGGTTTGGTTTGGTTTTATTTAGCATTTTAATTTGGTCACCATAGGCACCCTTCTTTTTTCTTCCATACTTCCCCTACTCAACGCTCAGACCTGGTACATGTTAAATGAGTCATCTACTTGTCTGTTTCAGCATATTTTTAGTGAAAAGAAACCTTAACTATTGTGGTAACTTTAAATATGTTCACAAAGGCTTTGATACACCTCCTTTGAAAAGGTGAAGCCTAATTCCCCTCCCTTTGAATGTGGGCTGAACTTAGTGACTCATTTCTGACCGATAAACTAAAATGAAAACGATGAAACTAGATCATAAAAGGGGCTGTGATCTCATCTCCTGTCCTCTCCTCTCTCTCCCTTTCTTTCTTTTTCTCAATACTTGCTCTGGGAGAAGGCAGCTGCCATCCTACAAAGACACTCAAGAAACCCTAAGGAGAGAGACAGAGCAAGGAACTGAAGCCTCGGCCTCAGATGACTACAGTCTCAGATGACTACAGCCCCAGACTACTGACTGCAACCTTCTGAGAGATCTTGAGTCAACCATGTACCTTGAGCTTGGAAGCAGATCTTCCAGCCTCAGTCAATTCTCAGATGACTACAGCATCATCCTGTTGAAAGCAACCCCATGAGAGACCTTGAGCCAGGACCATCCAATTAAGCTGCTCCCAAATTTCTGATGCACAGATATAATACATGACATAATAAATGTTTAATGTGGCAAGCCACTAAGCTTGGGAGTAATTTATTGCACAAGAATAGATAACTAATTCAGTTACATTAAGGAAATATTTTATACAATTGAGATATCACCAATAGCCTATCATCCTAATATGGTTTCCATCTTTGCATATTCTCTTCTACATGAAAATCCTTTGTTTAAATATTACTATGATGCAAATACAATTCTGATTTCTGTCATATTCTCAGATTTTATTATAAACATCTCCTTTGATGGTATAATGTCTTCATAGTTAATAATATTTTTAATGGTTGAAGAACATTTGATCAGATGGGCTAGGCACGGTGGCTCATGCCTTTAATCCTAGCACTCTGGGAGGCTGAGGCAGGAGGATCACTTGAGCTCAGGAGTTTGAAAACAGCCTGAGCCAGTGCAAGACCTCGTCTCTACAAAAAACAGAAATATTAGCTAGTTGTCGTGGCACGCACCTTTAGTCCCAGCTACTCAGGAAGCTGAGGCAGGAGGATCACTTGAGCCCAAGAGTTTGAGGTTGCTGTGAGCTAGGCTGATGCCACGGCACTCTACTCAGGGGCAACAGAGTGAGACTCTGTCTCAAAAAAAATTTTTTTTTGATCATGTGGATATGCCCTAAGCTTTAAACCATTTCCAAAATATTGAACATTTCAGTGATTTTCAAGTTTTTTCTATTAGAACTTTACTGTAGTAAATATCTTTGAATATATAGCTTTTTGCTTCTCTTGATTTATTTAGTTAGAATAAACTTTCTATATTTGAATTACTGGGGGAAAAAGAATATGAACATCTTTGTGGCTTTCATTGCATATTTGTCATATTTACTTTTCACAAAGATATATCAATTTATCAGTGATGAATAAGAGTACCAGCTACACTACAACCATAATTATATTATAATTTCTTACGCTTGTGTTAAAAGGTACAAAATTGCATCTCAAGTTTGCTTTAATTTGAATTTCTTTTATTCCTAATGAGGTTGTATGGGATTTTTTATATGTATTACATAATCACTATTTGCTTTTGTGAATTATCTCTTACTGTATTTTATGATTATCCTGGTTTTAATGTGTACTTTTCTTATAAATTTGAATGTAAAATTATAGATTAGAAATAGTAACCTTTTGTAATCTTTGATTAAAATGTTTTTCCAGCCAGTTGTTCATTTATACCAGTTTGCTCTTTTCATTACACAAAAATTCATAATTTTTTACTCTCAGATATATCAATATGCTATGTTATTTCTTCCATTCCATTTCTATTACTGCAAACGTAGCAGAGTTCACATTCTTCTTCTGATCTGAACTGATAACTTTTCTTCTAGTTTCTCGAGAATTTATGAGATTTTTTTTAATTTTTGTTTATTTTGTTTTGTTTGTATTGTTACCTCAAATTCATCTGGAGTTTATTTTGATATATACTGTAAAATGTAGATTGTTTTTCCAAGCTGTTCTTCAGCTTATTCATTTTTTTATTAAAAATATTTATAGTAACTTGGTTTTAAAATTCTTACAATATTCATATGGCTTACTGGTGATCACTGAAGTGTTACCAAAAATAATGGCAAAGAATGACATACCCAAGATCTGCGGTAGACACTATAAATGGAGACTTCTTCTCTTTTTTCTTCATATAGGTAAAAGAGACAAGTCTTGGGGAGATTGGGCCCCGCCCTAGCCCTGAGGCTGAATCATGATTGGCCCAAGCCAAATATTTCCTTTTATTGTGATTGGTTTAGGCTCCATGTTGACCAATGATCTGTAAGGAGAAACCTGCTGGGGGCCTCTGGAAATAGTTTCTCTCTGAACAGAAAGAGATTTACAGATGATTCCCTCTTCCATTAAAATTGTCACCTGAATGCGATGCCCAGGGCAGACCGAGAACTTTGCAACCAGGAGGGAGCAAGTCAGAGAACAAATGCTAAATATGGCAGAGAAGACAAATGGAAACACTTGGGTCCTGGATGACGATGTTGAGCAACAGACTTAACCAACTCCGGCATGCCCTACCTAAGAACATGTTCTGTGAGAGAACATGTATTCCTATTGTTAAGCCACTTTCAGATATCTTTTCTGTTATTTTCAGCTGCGGGTATCTTAAATTTAAAAACCCCTTTGATATTTTTCCCCTTGTTCATTGATTTCTCACACACCATTTAGAAATGATGGCACAGTTCCAATGAAGTGCCTGGTTCCTAAGCTGCAATAGCTAAAAAGCCAGAGCAGATCTAGGAGAGTGTGTTCTATGAACCTCCCTGTTAGCAGGAGACGGGGTCTTTGTTGCCAACTCCGTTTTTCTCCCACATTCCAAATGCCTTTGTGCTCAGGGCTGTTTGCCTTCTTCCTCAGTTACAAAGCACACCTATTAGAACCCTAAGTACTTACGGGCTACAACTTTCCCAAGAGGATGAGTTGCAAGGAATGACAAGCACCATTTCCAACTGCCATTAAATGCAAATCTCTAGACACCCCCTTATCAGCAACAATACAATGAAAACTGAGCACTCTGTTAACAAAATTTTGTTAGTAAGAGTCCTAAACTGCCATGTTTTGTAGATCCTGCCACAGGCGGGGACAAGGATTGGCCTCTTAACAACTATCTTAGTAATAACGGCAAATGCATATTTAAACAACTCGAGGCTTAACGAAAAGTTCAAATAAATCAGATAGTTGGTCTATAGCAGACGTTTTCAAACTAAGCTCCCTGGAACTTTTGGGTTGTACACAGATACCTCAAATGAGAGTGGGCGGGATTGAGTGAGCAGAGCTCAGTTCTGGCCCCCTCTTTAAATGAAAAGATCTGCTTTTATCTGCATTATATGTATTTGTCTTGTACCCAATATTCAACTTGAAGAAAAGGCCTTTTCTTAATGTTTTAAAACAATAGTTGACACTCTTCATGTTTCGAGGCATCCTGATGTTTGCAATCAATTAATAAACAATAAAATTTACAGCAAAATTTACAGCAAAACAATCAGATCATTAAAGGAAAGACAGAGAGAGAAAAAAAAGAAAGAGAAACAGACACTATCTCTATTTTTTTATTTTTATTTTTCTTATTATTTTTAGTATAGTAACTTGAGAGATGAATATATATGTGTATTTTTCTTCCTTTTTTCTTTTTTTTTTTAGAGACAGGGTCCAGCTCTGTTGCCCAGGCTAGAGTGCAGTGGAGCAATCATAGCTCACTGCAGCCTCGAACTCCTTGGCTCAAGCGATCCTCCCACCTTGGCCTCCAGAGTCACTGGGACTATAGGTATACACCACCACGCCAGCTAATTTATTTTTTAAAACTTTTGTAGAGATGAAGTCTTGCTATGTTATATGTATACTTTTCATATAAGAACTGGAAAAGATGAGATGTTTAGCATTGGATCCTTGCACTGTATCTGGTCTTCTTGATGTATGTTGAGTGGGGGAGGTGGTAAGAAGAAGGCTGGTTCTCATTGTTCCGTTTTAAAATAACCTGACAGCACAAATTACTGGCATGGCTTTCGCCACATTGGCACACATAGGCTATTTCTATTGATCTCTAAACTTGAAGAGTCCATGACCTCATCTGAAGTATGCTTTTTAATAATTCACTCCATTTAAGGGCCCATTAAAATGTCAGAACTGTCATAAGCCTTGTAAACACTTAGTTACCTCTAATGTCTTCAAAATAATAATGCATTATTGATGAACCCTTGGCTCACAATCACTTTGCTTCCATCTGACAAAGCCAAAACCCCACATGCTTTCTCTGCAACCCAGACATGTTCATCCCACTTCCACCAGGATGCTTTGTTCCTGGGCCTCCTGGGTTCTTCCAAAGAGTTTTTTGGCACCTTCTCTTGCCCCAAGCCAAGAAGATTAACTTCTGGGGTGACTTATCTCAAAGAGGAAACTAGCACAGTATGATTCTAAATTTGCCTGGAAAGCAGATCACAGGAACTAGGACCTTGGGCCACCTGAGCATGCAAAAGTAAGAAGGTGCTGGGCAGTTAGGAACCCACAGCTAGCTGACACATGTGCTTCTTTGGTGTACAGGCTGTCTCCTACAGAAATATCTGGGAAAGTTCAAGCACACAAACTTGATTTCAGGTGCCTTTTCAATGGAGCAGGAGTATAAGGAGAAGCATTCATTTGAGTATCTATGAAACCAATAAAATGACAAAAATTCTGCAAAGTATGGGGCTTCTCCCTAAAAGTAGGATTGCCAAGTAAAATACAGGATTCCTAGTAAAATTTGAATTTCAGATAAATGACAAATAATTTTTAGTAAAAATATATACTCAATATTGCATGGGATACACTTACACTAAAAAATTATTTGAAATTAAAACTGAAATTAAAACTCAATGTGCCCTCTTGTATTTTTATTTGCCAAATCCAGCAACCCTTGTTAAAGTCCAAATTTGAATCCCTCACCTAACATTAAAAATGCTGGTGGTGGCGGCAGCTTAGTGGTCCCCAATCCTGGCTACACATTCATATAATTACCTGTGGTTGCTCGGGCTCACCTTTTAGAGTAGCTAAATCAGTCTCTGGAGTGCTCCGCGGGGTTCCCAGTGGGCGTCCAGGATTCAGAACCACTGAACTAGAGGACTGTAATGGCTCCCGTGTGGCATCTCAGAGGGGCACATGTGACGCATATCAAGGGGTGTCTCAGGATCTAGTGGCAGAAAAATTATATGTATTTTTAAAAGCATATTCAACATTTTAATATAACTTTATATTTGAAAAATATAACGTTTTTTATATTATAAACTACAAAAAAATTAAGGAGGACTGGGAGATTCGAATCTGGACAGCTAAAAGAGATAATGAAACCCAGGGTCCAGGACCTGGGGCAAGTCCTAGATGGGGCAAAGGCCCTGGGAACAAGGAACAGGGTAAGGAGCCATGTACGAGGCAGGTGGGATTAAATAGATGCACAGTTCCCAGGTCAGAGGGGAGCACAGACTAGAGTTCAGGAACGCAGACAACAAGAGCTAGGACCTTGGGCCAAGAATCTAGACAGTCGCCAGCCAGGCTCTAGCCCATACACAAGTGATCCTGTAGTCCTGCTGGTCGCAGGACTTGTGAGGGCATCC